CCGGCGGCGTCCGCAACCCCGGCCCCGGCTCCCGCTGCGGCCCCAGCCTCGGCCCCGGCAGCTCAGGCGGTCGGCTGGCCCATCTGCAGGGACGCCTACGAGCTTCAGGAGGTTATCGGTCAGTGCGGAGGGTGCTGCGGGGCCGGTCCAGGCCGGGCGCGGAGACTGGGCGGGAGTGGGTGCGGGATGCGGTTTTCCTGCCTGCCTGCACGCCCGGAGGCAGAGCGGCCGGCTTCGGGGCCTACCGGCTTCAACAGTTATTTTATTGTATTTTTTAATTTTTAATTTATCCCTTCCTTCCCTGAGCGCGGCTGCTGCAGGAGGTGGCGCGGCGGATGTGACTCGCACTGCAGACGAGCTGCATGCTGCAAACTTTTATCTCCGGGATCGCCGGGGCGGCGGAGCTGGGGACCCGGTAACGCCGCATCCTCCCCCCACACCCTCACAAGCGCGGGGGCCTCAGCCCGTGGCCGGTGACCACGCGGATGGGCTGCCGGGGCGGGGTGGGGATGCGGGGGCGCCGCCCTGGGCTTCCTCGCCCCCGCGCCGCGCCGGGTGCAGCGCGTCCTGGGAGACCCTGCGGGCGCAGTCGCGCCTCCGCCTCCTGCCGTGACCTATCGGTGGGTAGCCGGTCCACGTAGTAGTGGCGGAGGCCCAGGCTCCTGCCCAGGCCGGGGAGGATGCTGGCCTTCTCTGACAGTCGCCGCATGCCCGCCCTGCGACCCGGCTCTGTGCGCGGTGCGCCCGGGTACCTGCCTCCCTCCGTGCCGGCGCGCCGCCTGCCGCTAGCTCCGGAGCCAGAGAGCGGGCGGGCGTGCTGGCCTCCTGCCCTACGCTGGGCGGATCTGCTGGGGTGAAACTCAAGGCTATCCACGATCCGCGCCCAGCCTTTCAGTGTCTCCTAGGCAGCTCACTAATATCATCTTATCTTACATTTTTAAATACCTGGCAAAGTCGAAAGTCAAGAAGCCGGCGTTCATTTCTTTGAGCCAAGCACGTGAAGGGATAGGGGATTGTGTTGTCCTCTAGCTTAGAACCTTACCTACAAGATCATGCAGTTAAAAGTTTCGTAACTGAGCAGTACTGTCAGCCAGACTGCCCCCCCCCCATCATGTAACTATATGAACTCTGCACTGGGGATGTTGCTGCCGCCCCATAGTCTTTGATATTTAAGGATGGTAAGAGGAAAAAAAAAAAAAAAAGAAAAAAAGGATTCAAGTTATCTTAATTTTTTTCCTTTCACTTTAAAAGAGTTCTCGATTTTTCCTCTTGGGAAAATTACAATAAATATAATTTCAGTGGTCACTCAAAGGAGCCCCCTTTACCTCCTTTGTGTGAATGAGACTTCCAGAAATGCATACATATACATGTGCATGTATACATATGTATGTGTTTCACAGGCAGAAGTGTGTGTATGCTCGTGTGTGCTCATGTGTGTAGTGATGGTGTACATTGGTATGCAAAAGCTGCAAATAGCCCTTATAGACATTTGTAGACAAAATTCTTTTAGTATATTTCATAACTTTTAGCTAAAGAGTCTTTAGGGATGAATCTTCATGACACTGTCAGGATTAATAACCCCAGGAGCTTTCAAAGCCCGGAGTCCTCGGTGAAAACCGTTTCTGCCCGGCACATGAGCCTCCTCTCTGAACTTTTTTCTGCCTCCCATGTTCTTACATTCCCCCAGCGATTATATGGGTCTCTACTGTCATGCAAAGGCTCTGGCGTCCACCTTGGCAGGCTCGTCCCTTTGAAGGCCCACCATACACACATACATGGATATACACATAGACACACATAACATGTATTGATGCTGAGGACTGAATCAGGAACAGTACTACCGAGGTAAGGCTTCTAGCTGCAAGGGATCTTCTTGTCCTAGAGAGTCTTGTTCAGCTTCCAGGGCCAAAGTGTCTTCTGAGAAGCTTTGCACTTCTCCCTGGACATAGTTTGGTGGCCCCTTTTGCCCCCATTTTATATACTCCATAGTACCTAACCTCATAAATTTTAATTGCTCATCGAGGTCTTCAGGCCTCCCAAGATCCCTGCACTTTGGTGGCTAGTAGCAATACAAGGCTAAATAAACAATGGTCCCTGTCCTTAAGAACCCCATGAGCTAGGATACAAGGATAAATGATGCTATAGGGTGTGGGAGTGAGGGCTGGGAGATGATGGGAGGCAGATGCTCCTCAGGGCAGAATCTGACTGGGATTGTAAAGTGGTTTTCAAGTGTGAGGGGCAGCTTATCGGGCTCAATTATTTGTGTTGCTGCTTTCCCTAAGCAGCGGGGGATCCCCCTATTTACACCTCAGAGTTGGTTGGTCTCTTCTGCTACACAGTTTTCCTTAGGACCCAGAACAATTTCCGTATAACTAATTTGTATTCTTTATGTTGTTAATCCTTAAGGGGTAAATGTAAGCTTAGACTTTGGAAACAATATTTTGAGTTGGCCTCTTTTGTGAACTAAGGAATATAATCTTTTTAGTTAAAGTAGGATTAATTGCAAAGCCTTCTCTGCTTGTGGTAACCATGTTAATTATGGTTGTTCGGTTTCAGGGAAGAAAGAAAAAGGGGAATTTACCTGAGGAATTCAAGAGATGAAACACCTGCGTATTCCATGTTGGTTTCGCACATTTATGTTGTGAGAGGGCTTTTCTATGCTTTATATGGGTTGCATATTTTCCCATCTAAGAGATGGCTGTTTGGAAACCCCTATTATTGAAACATTGCTGGAGTAGGGTTTTTGAAGGGCTTAATGTTTACGAAGAAATACAAACCCACTCCCATTTAGCCTTTTAAGATAGTTGAGTGATTCAGAGTGAATTTGTGGTTAAGCACGTTGCCTTAAATATTCTATTCAAGAGGTTGGCAGTGCAAATACCAAACCAGTTTGAAAGTGGTGCCTCTCCCTGCCATACAGCAGGTGTCCTATGATGTGCCTCCAGCAGTGGGAACCACAACCAGCAGGAGGCTCAGAGGCACCGGAGCCTAGAGCCAGGGAAGGCAGGGTGCTTCTTCAACTTCCAGCATGGCACAGAGCACAAGCACCGTTTCTTCTGTTTCCTCCCGGACACAGGACGGGGCCCTCGGGATTAGGAGAGGCTCAAATCCAAACAGACCAGGTTCAGTTCTGTAAGTTCTCCTGTTGTAGAAAAACAAACACAGGCTTTTCCAACTCTGAAGTTTTGTCTTTGTTGCCCGGCCGTTGGGCGGTAAAAAGCCACGGAGACACTGTAATGCTATTAGGAGTAATCTGGTTCAGAAGTCCAGGCATGACCTAGAAATAACGTCAGATCTGTCAGAGGGAGCTCTGTAATGAAACAGGGGCGAGACACGTGGAACTCTGGAGTTCCTGCGTCCGGGCGTTTGGGATCACTCTGTGTTCTCTACAAACAGCCGTTCTCTGGAGAGACTGTCCAATCTGTGTGTGATCTCTGGCTTTTATTCCTCTCACCCTCAGCCTTGAATTCCTTCTTCAGAAGCATGAAGGGCACCTCAGTGAGGCCAGTTGAAAACTGAGGTGGTTGTTGGTATTAATAGGGCCTCTCTGACTCTTGAAACAAAGAATAAAAGATGAGTTATGTAAACATTGACTTGGACATCCGTGAGAGAATGGACAACCTCAGTGAACTTCTCTCCTTGACGGCGGTGCCGTCTTGGCAGTATGGGCTTTCCAATTTGAATCAGGTAATTCCGGCAGGGCTCTTACCTCCCCTCATTCTCCACTGAGAAGCAGTAAGTAGATCACTGCTGTAGGCTGCTTGATTGTCTTCATTTTTTAATTTTAATTTTTTTTTGGTCAGGAAAAGGCTTTTTTCTTTTTTCCCTCTTTTTCTCCTTCCTTCCTTCCTTCCTTCCTTCCTTCCTTCCTTCCTTATTTTCTTTCAAGTTTGCATTTGATTCTCCATGTAGCCTCACGTTTTTCCCCGTGGTGGTCATTTAGAGTACTCTAAGAGGAGCACTTCCCTGCCATCTGAGGCAGCAGAAAATAAGTTGACTGTTTCACAGCAGGTTCCCCTGCTCACTTCATTCCTCTTCTCCGAGGTTCTGTTTATCTGTCTAGGTCTGCAAGCATTTTGCCACGACCCAGGGAACGAGGCTGTGGTCACTTGAAGGAGCATCAGCTCCTCCCAAGTTGAGATCTGCAAACAGCCTAGGACGTTCTCACAGCTTTTGGAAAGTTTCAGGGTTTGGGGATTAGCACTGGGGTTGTGCCGGGCCTAGAGGTAGGTTGAGGACAGTGGGCAGACGCACTGGGCGTTTGTTGGGGGAGCTGGAGTACTGAGGATACCCCGATCTCGTGGCCTTCCTGCCAGCAGTGTTGGCCTTCCCTTTGACTTGTCAGTTAGGGTTCCCCATCTCCCTCTTTCCTTCCCTCTTTCTCTTTCTTTGGTCTTTCCCTCCATCCATCCCTTTTTCCTTTCTCTTAATTCCTGTAATAAAGAGGCCTAGGATAAGCTGGTTGAGGAAAGGGCTTTGATTTTTAACCGCTTCACTTTTTAAAATACAAAGAGAAAAGCATACACAAAGATGTTCACTTTGTCAACATTGTGATACGTTATACATACACATTTTGCCATGCTGGCCTGTGGAGCATGTGTGTGTGTGTGTGTGTGTGTGTGTGTGTGTGTGTGGGTGCTGCTAGAAGGGTGCTCTGTCTCTAAACCTCACCTCCAGCCTTTAGCCATTTTCGTGCAGTTCCGTGGCATTGACTATATTCCCAACGAAAGTGTTCTTTTTAACTCTCCTAAGGAGATTGTTACGTGGGGAAAATCTCAAGGTTAGAAGAAACTCATGGAAGAGAGAATGCAGTCTCTGCTTCTTTGTTGTATTTGATTCCTGACCAAGGATGGGTGCACCCCGACCCCACCCCCTGCCTGACTCCTGCAGCTTATCTTAACTACATTTTGGACAGCGTTTAAAAATAAATGTCAGCAGTGCCGGGTCTAAAGTCAGAGACGCTGGTCTGTTTGTTTCATGTCCTGCTATGGTAGTCACTGGTGGTTGTGTCCTACAACAAATGGCTGAGATGTGTCTGCACTCAGTTCCCACACCGGTAGCCTGAACAAAATAGGTTTGTGAGAGCGTCGAACACTTAGAGCAGTGCTTGGCACAGGGCACGCTCAATTAGTGTTAGCCCTCACTTCTATAAACTTCGCTTGCTAATCTGATTCAAGTTATCAGGACAGAACACAGCCCTGGCTTTTCAAGCCTTTGAAGTGGCTTCAAGAGTTATTCCACTTGGTTTCTGCCAAGGGGAGAGTGCAAAGGAGAGAGGTCACCCCCAGACTTTTCGTTTGGAAGCCATCTGGAAAGTGGCGTGCAAGGGAAGTCAGAAGCCCAGGTAGGCCCGGCTTCACCCAGGCCTAGGCAGCCCCCACACCCTTCGTGGAGGAAGCTGGGGAGACCTGTAGAGCTCCTGGCGATTTGGACAGCTCAGGGGTTTAGGTGCCAGATGGCTGTCTGACAAGTGGTGAGAACATCCTGTGGGAAGGTTGCCTGGAGGAACAGCCCGTAATGGAAAGGCTCGGAGAGCAACCTGCTCCGACCGCACTTTTCCTTCTACCTCCGAGTCAGGCGGCCTTTGGGGGGTGCCATGCTGGCAGCCCATGCTGCTGACTTAAAGGAAGCATTCACTGCATCCCAGGGACCAGGAGAACTGGGCCCTTTATTTCCAGATAAAGTTTTCTCTGCTGTTCTCTCCCTCCCTCCCTCCCTCCCTCCCTCCCTCTTCTTTTGTAGTGCTGTAGGTTGTACCCTGGGTTTCATGCATGCAAGGCAGGGGCCCCCACAACTGATCAACACCCCCATTCCTCTCAGCCTTTTTGGTGGAGTTAGTGTTTCTAAAACAGAGCCTCAAGTGGTCCAGGCTGGTACTGAGCTCACTGCGGTAGCAGAGGATGGCTTTGAACTCCCAAGACTTCTGCCCCTGCCTCCCAAGGGCTGGGGTGACAGGCTGGCCCATCATGTGCAGCTGTTCTTGTCTTTCCTGTCCCTTCCTCCTGTTCCTCCTCCTTTATCTCTGTCCTTGTGTTCACAGCAGAGCTGACGAGAGGACCTCCCACTTCCTCTTCGCCTGCTGTAATCTGGCTTCTGCTGTCTCTCAGAAACCGAGCTGTGTTCTCTAAAACTGCCCTTGTCCATCTGTGGACAGAAGGCATGGGCACTGTGGACCATCTCGGTCTTCCTCTGCAGGCAAAGTTGGGCCCATTTTTCAGTTTACTGAAAACTGGAATGGCCGTGCCTTGGGCTTCCACTTCTGCCTCTTGTGTGTGGTGCCCTCTATTTCCGCTACCTGCCACTGCTTTACATTCTGCATCTCCATGGCTGACCCAGAAATGCAGAGGCCTTCCCTGACTTTGAACTAGTATTTGGATGGCCTGTCTTCTCCTGTGGTACTGGGATCATGCCCAGGGCCTTGCTCCGATCGGGCAAGAGTCCACCTCCAGACACCTCCCAGTCCACTGGGGCTTCTTATTCCTTCATTCCTACTCTTGTTCCTTCTCCATCTGAAAAACCCCAAGTGCAAAACATGCCACTTACACTACTATCCTACCCTTACAGGCTCCCATATCTCAAAGATCACCAAGTCCTAAGTGTTCTGCACCATATGCATATGATATATATGATATGTATTATCATATATATGTCTCTGAATCAGAGTCTCTCTGACTCTTTTGGTCCCTCCAGGTTTAAAGTCCTCATCAGTGCTTTTGGAGATTATAGTAACAATGCACGAATCTCCATTTTTGTCTCCAGCTCTAGTATGCTATGTTATCAGAATTGATACTGCTAGATCAGAACGTCTGTAGTGTTGCTGTCAGGATTACTGCTATATCAGAATGTCGATGGTGTACCCATGCATGTTGAAAGTGTACCTGTGCAGTGAACACATTCAAAAGGTGTGCATGTCTAAGATATATGTATGTTGGTGCATGTTGCTACATGAAACAAGCCATGTACCGCCACTCTGTTGATTTTATACATGCTGACTCTGTTTAGGATGCTTTTAGAATCTGGACTAAATATTGTGTCTTCCCAGAAACATGATTTGCCCGTAGCTCTCCTGGCTGCCCCCACTGGTTCTAATGTGTCTTTCACATAATTGCCCTCGGGAGGGAGGCTAGTTTCCCAAGTGCTCATCCTGAGCTTGGATGCCCAAAGCTTCCTTGAGGACAGTTTCCTCTTCGGTGCTTCACACTTCATATTCAGTATTTGATCATCGTGATGAATGTGAGCCTGAATTGGGGGGGGACAAATGCCATTGTCTGACATCTAAGTTTGTCTTCTTTGATCCTGAGGGTTTGATCTTGCCTTTGATGATTCTTACTCAGTTGACTTTGGGCCAGTCAACTCAAAGGGCTCTGTAGATATTAACTCAACCCTGAAGAGCACCGCAAAGCTCTTCAGTGCTTCCTCCTGCCTGTGTCGGAGATAACGGTGGAGGCTTCCCCTCCTCCGGGATGCATGGAGCCTGGAAGTGGCCCTTGTGGTCTGGAGGCTTGAGAGCTGCCCTGCTGTGGGTCTCCACCTCCTGCTTGGAGGTAGTAGGAGGAGTAAGGATGTCTGTGCTGCTGCTCCCTTTCGGATCCCCAGTACTTGCCTGCACTTTTGAATGCACAGCGATCTCTTGCTGTTCGTGTGTTTAAATATAGCCCTTACCTTGAAGCTCTTTGGAGGTGCTTCCTGTGTGGAAATCAGCAGTGCCGGAGATCAGAGTCGGATGAAGCACAGGAGCAGGGGTGCAGGATGGTGAGATTGCAGAGTTCTGTTATGCAGGCAGGCGTTGCACTCCTATAAATTACAATGGACAGAGAGTGATGGCATGGGATGGGAGTGGTACATGCCAAGCCTGTAGAACTCAGCTTGATATTTAAGTAAAAACTGATCTAATGTCTGTTATAACTCTTCTGTGGTACATCTTTTGGAAAAGATTCTTTTTTTTTGTTTCTCATTTAAGTAAAATCCCCCCAAGTCATCATATGAGGCTTCAGGTTCTCTTTCAGGACAGTTCTGCTTCAATTATACGAGATAACTCTAAGATACTTGAAGAGATGCAAGCATTCCAAGTTTTTTTTTTTTCTCTTCTAAATCTGCTATTCAGTGGTGGAATTTCTGGTACTAAAGAAGAA